GATTTTTGAACTTTTCATAATTACTAGTATAATTGATCTCGGAAGCATCTGTGGATCTACAAAGCCCATCAGAACGTACCCGCTAAATTGTATTTCCATCATAACCTGATCCCGCCCAGTCTACAGTAACTCTTGCTTTGCTGAGAGAAAATCAACTTTCCATAAATACCGTATCCCTTTTGGGTCGAAGATACAGCATCTTTGAGTGAAAATGTATTTCAGAATCAAAAATTTTATAAATAAGCTTCTGCTGTATCCCTCCGCCATGAGCCTCTCCACCAAATGCCGACGTTCCGCTTGTATGAACTTTGGTCGATCCGCAGCAATCACGCAAAGCAGGATGGAGCGTTGCATAAACTGATTAGGCCAATTACAAATGCTAATTTCCATCGCGTCCACTTACTGGTTGAGTGATGAAGTTACTTATACCTGGTGATATTTTTGGAACCACAAATTCCTGAGCGTTTGGACGAGTACGTGGGTGGCGAAGACGGGAACTCCTCTGGTTTTTCCTGAGCGTTTGGACGAGTACGTGGGTGGCGAAGACGGGAACTCCTCTGGTTTTCTGCTGAGAACCGGCCATAAAGCGTAATTAAGAGACCCTTTTCCTGGACAACACACTTATCGTCAATCTCTTATAAATCCGGCGAAGCCAAAGCTGTCACATCAGCCGACATATGGCAACGAGTCGATCGAAGGCCGACCACACACTAGAGCTAGTGGCTATAATTAGCCATTTGCCATATTAAAAGTATGTTTGGCAAAGATTACTAGTTTCCGTCAGATCATCTCTTGTTGCCATGGATAGCGCAATGGATTAGAGCGCCATTTTGGTTTCACGGACACAAGTTTACCATCTTGGCACAAGAAATGTTCACTGGATTACAGCATCTTCAGGTCAGATGTATCCAGCTAGTTCAACGACTTGAGCAACCCGATGGAAGGCCACCAGATGGTGTGGAATTTTTTGGCGATCAAGTTGAAAGGAAGGGTGCTAAAGGGAAGCTAGGTGCTGGACGTTCAGTTATCTCCATCAAGGAGCTCGTCCAAAGACTACCTTCCTCGTCTCAACCTCGTCCTCCTGATATCCTCGTTCGTCATAACCTCAAGGGACTGTGCTGGATTCTGAATTCGGAGCTCCTGCTAGGAACATTTTGTGAAGAAAAGCTCGACCTGAGTTCGAAGAAACGTTGGAACTCCTTTGATGCCCTGCTGTCAACTTCTTCTCGAGGAAAAAACTCAATAGAGTCCAATTAACTAAGCCATAGCGAAAACGTCGACGACTTTTTTNTTTTTTCAGATCCGATTCTTCGTTAATTTGAAAATTACTCGACGAATGACATAAACAATGACGTGATGCGTTCCTTTCGTCATTGCCCACTTCGTAGCCAGCCACTTGCCACTCTCCGACGATGCCACCACCCTCATTGTGCGTCATTGAAAATCAATCTAGAATCAGAAGTACACCCTCATCTCCTTCAAAATACGAGACTATTGGTGGCCCATGTCAATGGAAATGATGGATGATGACGACTAATCCGCCGCTGTACTATGTAAGCATGCTGCATGAAACAAAACCGAGAACTGACGTTGGTATGAAATCATCTGAATCGGCTACAATCCGACATTGTCTGGATCACAATAGGATAACATTTGAGTAGCCTGATAAGCATACAATGGATCATATCGGCCATTTCGCAAGGTAGAGAAAAGTATGAACCAAGAAGAAGTCAGAAGAAAAGCTTATGGTCAGGGCTCTCGATGTACTCATGTACCCATACTGCATCACAGGGCGAAAGTGTCGAAGCAGAACAGTTCATCGGTGGCGAAGAAAAGAGGAAGTACGCAGAAATTGCGAAAATGAAACTTCTTCCAACTAATCACTCCCAAACTTGGACGAGTTTATGAGAAGGAAAGTAGCCATTGGACGAGATTGCAGTCGTTGCAGAGCAACTCGTTAGCCATTAATCTATACCAGTCGATTGCTTTTACAACAAACATGCTCCATTTCGATGAGTGTCATCGGCCGCAACACCGCTAAACACGTCCTTTTGAGGGCGTGTTGAGCGGCAGTGATTCGAATCCAATTTAGGCAGTCTCCCGACCACAAAATATGTGGCCTTCTCAGGGATCAGAGATTCCTGTCAATAAAAAATCCCAAGTCATCATCTTGGACTGTGCTCTCACAGCTGGCTCATCCAAGACCTATTTGTACTTTCGCCAGTTTTCGAGGAAATTTACAACAATATCAAAAGGTATTCGAGTACATTAAAATAAAGTTTTAGATCGGATACGGTATACAAAAGTCACAGAAAAAAGGAATATTCTCCGAGTTTTTATAGGCTTCAGAAAGTCAGTCCCTCTAAGCTACAGTAACTGCGAAAACAAATTTTCTGACTTTTTTCCTCTCTAATTACAGACTTCGAATTATGTATAGCCTGAATTAGGAATTGGCAAAATTACCCAAGAGAATT